GGGAGGAGGGGGGGGGGGGTTACATTCTAACTCATCATCCTCCTTTTTTTTTTTTTCCTAACTCAGCAACATCCCGAATTCTGATTTCCCTCTTGCGTGGCAATGAATTATTTCTTGCGGAGTGGTGGGTTGGCTTTGAGAGGAACAGCTCTACTCTGCAGGGCTTCAGAAGGCCGGAGGTGAATGGCCTGGAGGGAATGGGGACAGATTTAGGGGGATGCCCCATACTGGGGCTGGGGGAGATATATGGGTCGGCATCATATCCCAGCGGCCGCAGATAAGGGCAAGAGGTTGGCAGAGGCATACTTTGGGTGGAAACCGAATGCCTCCATGGGAGCAGGGGTAGGAAGAGGTCTGTCCCTAGTAGGGGCAGATGAGGAATGTTCGTGATCAGGGCCGTCCTTTACGGTGGAGGCAGAGGAGGGGCAACGGGAGAAAAGGGGAAAGGGGGGGAGGGGGCAGGATCTCGACATCCTGCTCATCTACATTATGTTCGATGAAATACTTCAAACTTTTATAGACACTGGGCTCAGGATTTCCCTGGCAGTAGAGGTCGTCCCATGCCAGATGTAGTTGCGATGCTCACTAGTCTAGATCAGCCAAACAGGAAAAATAAAAGAAAACAGGACAGTGAGGTCGTCAACAAACATTAGCAATGTGGAGAGGGCGAACTCGTGGAGGTGATTGTTGTTGTGAGTAGATGGTCACTAGACCGGTCCTTGTGTAAGAATGACGCTATGGCCTCCATGATGAATATGAATATGGGGGGTGCGGCTAGGGGGTCACCCCGCAGCACTGAACGTGAGAGATGGAGTAGACGTCAGACTGACTTTGGTTTACCTGGAATCTACCGGTTGCTTCATTATAAAGAATCCTGACCCAGTCCTACGGGACATCCGTTAAAATTGGAACGATACAGAGAAGATTAGCATGGCCCCTGCGCAAGGATGACATGCATAAATCGAGAAATAATCCAAGAATTAAAAAAAAAAAAAAAAAAAAAAAAGAATCCTGACCCACTTCCTTAAGTTTGGACCTACTCCCATCTTCTGCATACAGTCATGTAGAAAGTCCCAATTGACTTCATCATAGGGTTTCGGGTTTAGGGTTTAGGGTTTTAGGGTTTGTTGGATTGATGGTCCCGTCAGCCGGTGTTTTTACCAAAATTTTGAAGGGGATTGTAAGTTCAAAAAAAAAAAAAAGAAAAAAAAAAGGGAAATTGGCCTATAATTCTTCAAATCCTCCTTGTCTCCCTTCTTGTGCAGTACGAAAACCATACTTCTCGTGGTCAGAAAATTGCCAAGTGGCACCTTTCCCAGCTGTCGTGAAAGAAATTGAGATGGTCCTCACATACAGAATAGGCCAGAACTGAACCCAAAATTCCTTTCTCAATGCGTCTATACCAGGAGCTTTGTTGTTTCCCATCTGTTCCAGGGCGGTTTGTTGCTCGCTTGCAGTGATGGGTCTGTCGAAAATGTCAGCTTGTACCTGGGTGATAGTTCTCCCCAAGTACTTCATCGTTCATTGCCGGGGCCGGGGGGGGAAACCACCCCCTCACACCACCCACCATCCGCTTCTCATCTGTGCTCTCACCTCTTTCAAATAATCTGTGGTTCATCATCTAAGCGGGCTTGCGATTATCCTCCATGAAACTGGCACTCTGCAATTACAGAACAGTAAGTAGCTGGTCACGTGCAAGATTTTTTTTTTTTTTT